AATATGGAGATTTGAAAATAATCTGATTGTTAAGAATATGATTCATATCACACACTGATTAAGATTTGGTATAAATACAGGCAGAATGAAATATGATAGAGCTATTTGGCAGCTTGAAATCCTAGAAAGGATGAAAATAACACAATGGTTCTTTCTTCCACGCACAGAAGAAGAACTGTTCTATTTGTGAAAAGAGACATTGATCTCTGACACCTTTATTGGTACTTAGAACTGACATAAATTAGAAATGCCCTGCAAGGGAGGTAGCCAAAAAACAATCTGAGAGCATTAAATGGAATTGTTATAACTGATTCCCTCAACATAGCCAGTTTGAAAAAGAAGACCAAAGCAACAGTTCCAGTGAGTCCGAGCTATTTAAAGTATGTCAAAAGCATTTTTTCTCTCTCTGGTTTAGAAAACAAAAGATATGTGATAGCTGCACAGCTGCATTTGTCAGGGTGATAAAATGTGTAATTGATGGCCCTAGGGCTTTTAAGGAAATGGTGATTGCATCCAGATGCCTGCATTTGATTAAGACTTTGAAATGCAATTCCAAACACCATGGACCATGCTATATAATATCTTAGTGGTTTTGTTTATAATTTGTTCATCATTTAAGAAGCCTGTATTTTCCTGAAAGTGCCTTGTGGACAAATTCTTTGATTAATATGTACATCAGCTAATACTAAATTGTTTTCTTATCCAATGCGGGAGAATAACCCTATTTACCTATTTCTAACACAACAACAGCATATTTGTCCAGCACTTTTCAAGTTGGGAGGATCTTTCATAGCGCTTCACAGAGCCAAGCTTGGTATGGGGAGGAGCTGAGAAACAGGGGGATAAGTGACCAAAAGCCCGATGAAAAAGAAAGGTTTCAAAGTGATCCTTAAAGGGTGAGGCAGAAACACTCCAGGATGGAGTTCCAGAGAGGGGGAAAAGAGGATGCTAGTGATGCAAGAGGTCACAGAGATAGGGTGGAGCATGGTTGTTGAGGGATTTGAACATGAGGACAATGATCTTGAACTTGATCTGCAGGGAAATGGTGAATCATTGGAGCTAGGTGAGGATGGGGGTGAAAGACTCATGGAGCCAGGTCTGGGAGAGGACTTGAGCTGCAGAGTTCTGGATAGTCTGTGATTTATAGATTGTGATTTAACTAATTAAGCAGAAAGACATGCTTTTTGTTTCAATACTACCTTCTGACAGGCTGAAATCTGATTTGTCCTCCATTCACTTTCCACTTGGGAAAATAAACCGTAAAACAATATTGGCAAACAAAAGAGATAGAGCAGCAGTGGGAAACATTTAAAACAGTGATCAATAGAGTCCAGGAGAAATATATTCCGCTAAAAAGCAAGACAAAGCTAAATAATAATGAGACACCATGGATGAATAAAGACATAAGGGCAAAGTTGAGACTCAGGAAAGAGGCATTCACTAAATACATAAATGACGAGGGAGAGCATGACAAAAAAATATATAAAGAGGTCAGGAAAATAGTCAAAAAAACAATTAGGAAGGCAAAGAGGAATTATGAAATTAAATTATCAAGGAATATAAAAAGAAATAGTAAAATATTCTACAGACATATAAATAACAAAAGAAAAATCAAAATAGGAATAGGGCCACTAAGGGATGGAGAAGATAAGCTCACAGGCCGCCACAGTGATATGGCAGAAATTTTAAATAATGACTTTGCCTCAGTGGAGACGGATCAGGTGGACATGACAGTAGAAGAGATCAAAAATAATTTAAATACATTTAAGATACAAAGGGGAGATATAATTGAAAAACTAATGAAACTCAGAGAGGATAAAAGCCCTGGTCCAGATGGATTGCATCCGCGTATATTAAAAGAATCGAGGGAAGAGATAGCAGAGGCACTATTACACATATACATAACTCATTAGAAAAGGGAATGGTGCCAGAGGACTGGAGGATAGCTAATGTTATACCTATATTTAAAAAGAGAAATAGAACAAGCCCAGGGAACTATACACCTGTCAGTTTAACATCAGTGGTAGGAAAGATAATGGAATTCTTACTGAAGGAGGTAATAGAAAAACATCTAGAAATGGAAAACATAATAAAGAATAGTCAGCACGGATTTCAAAAAGGAAAGTCATGCTTGACTAACCTCATTGAATTCTTTGAAGGGGTAACAGAAAAAGTAGACAAGGGTAATGCGGTAGATGTAATATATTTTGATTTCCAAAAGGCATTCAATAATGTACCACATAATAGACTAATGAATAAGGTCAGAGCATGTGGAGTCAGGGGAAAAATAGCAGAATGGATAGCAAGCTGGCTACAAAACAGAAAACAGAGATTAGAGGTAAAGGGTAGCTACTCAGACTGGCAGGGGGTGGGCAGTGGTGTTCCACAACGATCAGTGTTGAGACCACTATTGTTCACAATATACATTAATGATTTGGATTTGGGAATCAGCAATACAATTTCAAAATTTGCAGATGACACCAAAGTGGGGAGAGTAGTTAATACAGAGAAAAACTGCAAAAAATTACAGCAAGACATTCATTAATAAACTTGCTGAGTGGGCATTTCAATGGCAAATGCACTTCAATGTAGAAAAATGTGAGGTGGTACATTTAGTCAGAAGCAATAAGGAAGTCACATACATCCTGGAGAATAAAAACCTAAATAGGGTAGACGAGCAAAGGGATCTAGGGGTACACATTGACAATTCACTAGAAGTAGCAAAGCAGGTCAACAAGGCCATAAAAAGGCAAACCAGGCATTGGGGTTTATTTCTAGAGGGATAGAAATGAAAAGCAGGACATTTATAGTAAACTTCTATAGAACCTTGGTTAGACCACACTGAGAACATTGTGTGCAGTTCTGGTCCCCACATTATAGAAGGGATGTAGAGGCATTGGAGAGGGTGCAAAGGAGATTTACAAGGATGATCCCAGAACTGAGAGGTTATACCTATCAGGAAAGGCTGAACATTCTTGAACTCTTTTCTCTTGAAAAGAGGAGGGTAAGGGGTGACCTGATAGAGGTCTTTAAAATTATGAAAGGTTTTGATAGGGTAGACATAGGGAAGATGTTTCCACTTGTGGGGGAGACCAAAACCAGGGCCATCAATATAAAATAGTCACAAATAGATCAAATAGGGAAGTTAGAAGAAATTTTTTCACACAGAGAATAGTGGAAATGTGGAACATGCTACCACAAGGAGTTGTTGAGGCAAATAGCACAGATGTATTTAAGGGAAAGCTAGATAGGTACTTGAGGGAGAAAGGAATACAAGGTTATGCTTGAAAGCTTAGTTGAGGAAGGGCAGGAGGAGGCTCATGTGGAGCATAAACACCGGCATAGACCAGTTGGGCCGAATGGCCTGTTTCTGTACTGTACATTCTAATGTATTCTAATGTAATGTTTTCACATAATATATATTTCTTGCATTTGATATAATGTCTTATCACGTCTTCAAGACATCTCAAAGCTCTTCACAGAATATACTGAAAAGTGAATCGATTGTGTATTTTGTGGGCAAAATACATCTAGCAGCATTCCAAACAGAGAAATCTATGCATGATAACGGACCATGGCAGCTATAGTCCAGAACGCAAGATCTCCCCTCTCATTGCACTAATTATGTTGGATCAAAACAGAAATTGATGAGAATGCATGTGCTGAGTGGAGGCAGAGTGAAAGAGTGAAGGGCAATACAGTCCATTAGCACGCACAGTTCAAGGCTGGATTTATACAGTGCTAATGATGCCTAGCTGTAATTATATGCTCTGGGTTTAATATAGGTAATTCATACAATAATTACATGCTGTTGTTGAAGAAAAAAACATTTAAACTGCTATACTACCATTGGGGTTGCTGGCATTCTCTTGGCATTCAAGATCAATCAAACTAAACCAACTTGGCAAATTGAGTGGCTTTCTAAAGCTTGCTCTTTTCTCCTGTTACCTCAACCTGGCCTTTTTGTAATATATTATCAATTTCAACTATAACAATTTACATTTATATAGCGCCCTTCGCACAAGATAGTGTCTCAGAGCAGCGTGTAGTGGTGGGGTTGGACACTGAGTAAGAGAAAAGAAAGAGGTCAGCATTGATGCAGTAGCAGAGGTGTGATTTAACACTAAGCAAGTGGTGTATATATTTGGTAACATTAAGTAAACTGATATTGGCTCAATCATTTTATGCTTACAATTTAACTCCACATTCAAGTGCAATATGAGGGTTGAAAGTCACATGGAAATGAAACACAGTCATTTTTTCTCCTTAGCATTAGCACTATAATTGTTTCTCCCTCTATTATAAGTCGGCAATCAAATGTCGGAGTGCAGCCTTTTCACTTTATTTTGTAATCTTAAATTTAAGACATGATGGGGTGTGGCAGAGTAGAATTGCTGTCACCCGGGGTTTGCCAGGGCGTGGGCAAAATGTGTGCAATTGCCTTTCCTGCCTTAGAGCCTCAGCGTTTGGTAGAGTGTGAGGCAATCCTGAGTTAAAAGTGCTTCTTTGGGATAAAATCAATCTTTCAACTACTTATGTTAGAAAATTGACTGTGTAAATTCAATTTCCTGGGACTTTTTATTAAGCGTGTTACTGGTAAATTAGCAGGAAGAACAGGAGGCTTTGGGGCCAGAATTGAGTACAGAGTATGAGAACGAACGTTGGCAGAAAGCAAAGAATAAGTCTCCAGTGGTTCTTAATGTGTTCCTTATTTTGGGCAATTTATTGCAAGGAAGATATTAAAGAGTTGAACAAATTTTACCCCACAGTCTGTTTTGTATTGCATTTTGAGAGATGTGGAATAGTTAGTAAACTTTCTTTCTCCATTCAGCTCAACTTCAAAACATTCACTTCAGTGTTTCAGATGGTGCCTCAAAAACAGGCATTGTGATTAGCTTTTATCTCTCCTAGGAGAAATGTCAACTACAAAAAAAGTTGTTGGCAAACTGACTTGTCTCCTAAAGAATATTAACTGGCCGGCTGTGTTGTTTTGTATGCAGGTACTGGTCGTATCTGGATGGATGATGTTGCCTGTGAAGGAATAGAGGACACAATTCTTCAATGCAAATTCTCGGGATGGGGCAAAACTAACTGTGGTCATGCAGAAGATGCTGGAGTAACCTGCAAGGTCACCTGATTCAAGGAGAACATCCTAAATCATTTTAAAGGGCATCATCAGCTTTCATTGGGCTTCATTTTTTTAATCTTGGTCTATTTTTTATATGAAAACTTTAACAAAAAGCGAACCTACATTATTTTTCATTTCAATATAATTTGATGGCATAATATCCACAATGTTATTCCATAAGTATTATGTGTGAAAGTGATAAGGTCATTATTACAAATATTAGTTAAGCTATTTGGTAATTACTAAAGGAAATAGGCCTGATTTCCTTACAGTATCTGCTGAATCCTGGCACCAATTCTGATAAGCAACAACACAATAAATATTAATTGTTGTTATTTGCTCCAACTATGGTGCTATATTAAAATATTTGTGTTGTGTATATCTGGGACAGATTGATGCTCCAAGCCTCTGAGACAAAAATCAGAACTGGTTACCTTTATTTTCTCAGATGCAGTTTAATCCATTCAGTTACATAGTCGATGTATTACGGCGTCATGTCACGCATGTTTTTAAAGAATAATCTGTAATTGGCAATGCAATAGTGCAATGCATTGGTGCTCCAAGGCACAAGAGCGGTGTGATACAAACTTGTGCTCATGATTCCTCTCGTGACAGGTTTCTGATCTCAGTCGTGTCATTAGTTGCTGCTCAGTGGAAATCATGCCCTTTCCTGGAGGAGGGTGAAACATCCTGGGCTTCTCTTTGTATACAAATCTAAGCTAAAACTGTAGAGAGGGTCAAAGCTGAATATTTGATTATGCAGTCTAAAGTTTATACTTTTGAATTATAAACAATATGATATATGCAGTACTGTAATAAAAGTAATTAATAATGTAATAATAGTAACATACATCTAGATGTCACTTTCACATATCAGAAATATTGGGTCTACTTTGGGATATTACTTAACAATAACGATAATATGTGAGAACAGGCCTCGAGACGTTCTCCTCCAGAGTTCTGGTAATGATATTCCTTACTTCTGAATATGGAAGGGTATCATTTTCATAACTCAAAGCCTAACAATTCCTCAATCTAACATGTTGGAAACTGATTTAAAGAAAAATAAAATTGCAGAGAAGAAAATATAAAAGTAACTGGATGTTTAGAGTTTGATGTCTGGAGGACATAGAGTGACCTACTTTGCATTGTAACAGTTCTGTGTCATTTAAATCCCCAATACTCTACTTTGTCCCCTAAAAGGATATGTAACCTATCTGCACTACACTGTAGAGTATTCAATAGCTTACCACTAAAAGTTCTACTCTATCATTCCACGTAGCCCAGATACATCTTACCATTGTGTGGTTCTCTTAGCTGAGGGAAGAACAACTGATGAAACTTGCTCCAAAAAGTGGTGGTTCAAAGCAAAAGGCACTATTTGGCTCTAGTGCTATGAGATTTTTCACATCAGTCCATAAAAATATTCAGCATAGAAAGGAGCCAATTGGCCAAATATGTCTGTGGCAAAATGCTACGGGAGAACTATTATCTATCACCACACAGGTTTTCTGCTTTTCTGGAAGGAAGTTTTGGGAATGCATTTATTGTAACTCCTTTGAATGACCCAGTTACTACAATAGGAATAAGATCAAAGCAGTACAAAAATACAGATGGAAATGCTAGTTTTCTACAAAGTTATAATCAATATAATTTGGGAGTATTTTTACAAAGAATTAAGTTTCTGAATGGGCTTTTATATGATTTCACTTTTATTTGAATTGTAAAGATTGTGATTAATTCCTATTTTTATGTTACAATGTGGTTAATTCAGTCATTAATAGTAAGACCCCAAACAAATGAATGGTATGCTGCACACATCCACCTGTACATAAATGTCTGCAATGGTTTCAGAATACTTACAGGTACTATTTGAACGTCAGCTTACAAAACTGAATGTAAAATAATTGCAAATTAAAATGTGGCATTGATTTTGGTGCTTCTCTGTTACTTTCAATAATAAAATAATAATACTGATATTTTATCAATAACATTGAGAACATTTCATGACACTTGACATTTCTGTAAAGTGAAGTGACTCTGTATTTGTAGGCGAATGTAGCAGCTAACATTCACACCGCAATGTTCCACAAACACTGGGGTAAAGCTTGCAGCATTTCACATTAATACAAGGAATGTGTAACACAAGAAATGCCACAAACTTCATCTCAGCATTTCTAGGTAATAAAGGCTTGTGTTGTTGGCAAACTGAAGGGCTAAGAGACGGTCATAAGGAAGGAATCAGATCAAAGCAGCAATATTAGGTAAATCATAATAAAATAAAGGAAATACAAGAGCTCTACACAATAGTTGCACCAATCTTTATTTCAGAAATTATTTTTACAAGACGCACATGGTGCAGCCGTTAAATTTTATTCTGCTGTGGATATGGATCACGTCCCATTCAAATGGAATAACCAGATGAGTGAGGAATTTAGATAATTCTCAGTTAGACAACAGAATGGAATGGAATGGCAGTGCAGTGACTCGCAAGGAAAAGTTATATCTCTGGCCTACAGAAAACATAACTTTAAACTGTGCACATGAGACACAAAGAGATCTCATATTGCTCACTTTTCAAAAGATCCAGTATTTAGAGAAAGGAACCATGTGTGAAAAAACACTGCAGTATTGTAGCTTCTATTATATCAAAGTCTTTGCAATTTAAGAGACCCAATCTGCGCCTAAACACTTCAGAACGAGGTAAGCAGGGTGAGTCCCTCTGGGAAGGAAGTGCAAACTCCATTCCAGACAAAAGGAAACCATACTTATGTGGAAACCTCAGTAGTTTGATTTTGAAGACATGATGATAGGTTTTCATGAGTGTCTGATACCTTGCTGACCAAAACAAGGAAAGAGAGAAGTCCCAATTCTTAGTATCTGATCAGTAATAACGAAAGCTGCGTAGAATTAGAAAAAAACAATAATAAATTGGTCACTTCCATCCACAGCTGTTTGTGGGACACAGCTGTGCACAATTGGCTGCCGAGATTCGCCCACAAATATACAGTCAATTCACTTCACAGCATAGAAGACGTGAAAAGCACTATATCAAATGCAAGAATTATTTATTTGTTTAGAATTATTAGACAATGGAATTAATGGTCTTATCCTTTAGCACTAAAATGGTTGAATTCACAAATTTAGTCAAGAATAAAGTAGAGAACAATGTGTGAATCTTGAACAGGGGAAGGATGTTACTTTGAGGAAATCTAGGGATATTCTCCTAAAACCACAACTCCATCTTAATGCTTTACCTCACTTTCTCCACAATTATTCTCGAGAGCAAAGACACTCATCCTCTGTTTACTTCTAACTACCTCTCCTCCAGGACAGGAAGAACCCAAAGCAAGTCAAGCTTGTGGCAGGTAAGACCTGTGTGAAAACACTTCTTCTTTATGGATCTGAGCTCCTGAGGGTGCAGTGGAAGGCTTTGTCCAGTCCATTTGCAGGGTCGAGTGTGATGTAGTGAGGTGGATTTGTGGCAAAACAGGAAGTGGCTGCAGAGATGGAAGATAAACAACAACAAATCACATTTGGATAATGCCTTTCACATCGGGAGGATGTCCCAAGCTGCTGGACAGTCACGGATTTGGATGCAAACAAAGGGTTGGGATCAGGAGGGGTGGAGGGCAGGACAAGAACAAAGCATGGTGATCGATTTCCGCACGTGTCAGATACCCAGCTGACCCAAAAAAACTTTTGAGAATATATGGATCATAATTTGCTTTGCTTTTGTACTCTATGTACTTCTACATAATCCATGACTGTTTTACTCTCTGGAATCCTTTAAGAAAACACAAAAAATGTGGAATCTGATAAAGTCATCAATTCCACACCATCCACAGACACCAAAAGGTTGGCAGTTTTCGGGTTGGTAAATGGTAATTAGTGATATGCTGCAGGGGTCAGTGCTGATGATACCAACCTGGTCACTAGTTAGGAGGCTGGCAAGAGACTTCAGGAAGACTTTAATAGATTAGTGCAATGGACAGATAAATTTTAATGAAATGTGATGAGATTTGTGATTGGTAGAAAAAAAACAAAGGAAGGAAGTATATATTAAATTACAGTATCTTCAAGGAGCAAACGGACTTGGGAGAGCAGGTACCTAAGTCCTTGAAAGTGCAAGCACAACTAGAAATGTCTGTGAAAAGCTAATAGTGTAGTATTCTGAGTTTTATACATAGTTGAGTACAAAAGTAAAGCAATAATGCTCAATTTGTACAAATTACTGTTAGGTTGCAACTGTGTTCAGTTTCGGAAACCTTACCTTGCCTCAGGAAAGATGTTAAGGCCTTGGAAGGGATTGCAGAGGAGATTTACAAGAATGATACCATGGATCAGGGGCTTTAATTAAGAGAAGAGATTGGAAAAGCTGGATCTATTTTCATTGCGCAGAGAAGGTTGAGAGAGGACCCGTTGGAGTTGTACAAAATTAAGAGGGGTTTTGACACAGTAAATAGGAAAAAGCTATTTCCACTAGTAGGAGAGTCAGTGACTAGGGTTATAAGATAGTCACAAGATGAGCGAAAGGAGGGCTTAGGATTTTTTTTTCTCAGAGTAAAGTGGTAGATGCAGAGTCCATCGTGAGGGAAGTAGATAAATGTGAAGGATATAAACCTGGAAGGGTATGGAGATAAGGTCACACTGTGGGATTGAATGAACACCGTGAAAGATGAGGGATACAATGCAAGATTATTATTATTATATCATTCCCCAGGAGTTACCATCTCCTTTACAAATACTGTCATTTCATCCAGCTGCAAAGATCTGTTTTTGCAAATTATTTTATAGCTCCACCTCATGGCCATCTCTTGCTCTCATCTGTGTCTATAGTTTAGCTGTAATGGTCCTTGAATTACTGCAGATAAAACAAATCTGAGTTTATTCTTCAACACCTTCTTCACTATTTTGATAGTTTTTATTTAGCGTATGTTTTCTCAAACACCCTGAATCATATCTTCTATCACCTGTCAGTCAACCACAGGCCTCAGCTGATTCTTATCTCCCCAAACTGTCCCCTGTAAATCTGCTTTCAATGAATTGTGTTTATGTGTTCTGCAAGTTTAACTTCCCATCTGTATAGACCATCTTTTCCGTAAAAGTACTGTGGGGGACTGTATTACTTTATTTTAAGTCCAAATAAAATTAGCAGTAACAGAAACACATTTATACTAACATTTTGGGTATATGGCTACCATTTTTATTAGAATGAGGTTGCACATTTGTTGGGATTATAAGTTATATTTTACTCTCTGTATTCCTTTAAGAAAACACAAAAAATCAAAAACAAAATGTTACATTTTATAGTAGGGAGGTTAATTTTGTCAGCATATTCAAGAGGGAATTTAGTAGGTATGTGGGAAAACATTATTTGAGAGAAGTATGAGAGAAAGTATTGTATGTTTTTTTTAGTTTAGGACTGACCAGATAGGTTGCAATGATGTTTTCCACTGCTGTATATTCCAGTACAATATGTACAATTCTATGGCAATAACAAGTTTAACATTTACATTGTGGACTGGTCTATGGAGACACCTGCCTCTTAGTATCAGCTAGAATCATAGAATCATAGAATATTACAGCACCGAAGGAGTCCATTCGGCCCATTGTGCTCTTTGGAAGAGCTACCCAATCCTCCCACCCCTCCACTCTTTACCAATATCCTTGCAAATGTTACCTTTTCAAGTGCCTATCTAACTCCCTTTTGAACTATTTCTATACATTTTCAATGTACAGGTACACTATAGTACTGAAAACATATTGTAGAGTCCTGTAGCTCAGTGGTTAGAGCACTCGCCTCGCAAGCAAGAGACCTGGGTTTCATTCCCGGCAGGGTGAAACTTTGGGCAAGTTTCCTTATTCCACACGCCTGATAATAATCCCTCAAGAAAAAAAACAATAATAAATTGGTCACTTCAATCAATCCATGACTGTTTGTGGGACACTGCTGTGCGTAATTGGCTGCTGCGTTTCACCCACAAATATAGTAAATTCACTTTACAGTATATTCTGTGAAGCGCTTTGAGATGTCTGGAAGACGTGAAAAGCGCTATATCAAATACAAGGATTATTATTATTATACTACTGTACCTGTAATTTTACAGCAATATAATGAACAAATTGTAGTACTATTGTATTATCCCTAGCCCAATAAATACAAAACATTCAGTTAATTTATGTTCAATATATGCTGATTTCGCGCTCAACTACAAATCCCTGGCACCTCCTGACCTTTCTGACCTGCTTTCTCCCCTCTCCATTACCCGCTGCCTCCACTTGGCTGACCTCTCGATTATCCCTCGTCTCTGCTCCACCATTGACATCCACGCTTTCAGCCACTTTACCCCAAAGCTTTGGAACTCTCTCCTCCAGTCCCTCCGCCTTGCCCCTTCTTTCCCATCTTTTAGATCACAACTGAAGACCTTCCTCTTCGACTGTATGTATTAAATCAATGTTACGAATGAAGAATAAAATCAGATTTAAAACATATTAATTTAGTTGAGCATTTACAGAGTCCTTCTCAGACCCCAGGAAGAGAGATTTTGGTTTGGGAAATCTAAATCCCACTTTTCCACTCTGAATCATTCTAGTGCTAGCAAGGGATAGTGCTAGTGCTACAGTATGTAAGCTTTACTAAAATTTGCAAGTACAAGGAGCGAGAACCGTCACAGCTCCAATGCATTGTCAGAGGTATCATCCTTTGGAATGAGACTTTAAACTGAGGTTCTGTCTACTATTTAAAAAAAAATAGTTTCCTGGTCAGTAATGCTCTAGAGATTATGAATTAGTCATTTACCTCATGTGAATCGGGGAAGCTGCTGTATGGAGATTAATGCTGCCACGTTTGCCTTTGAATACATAAATACAACTTTACAGAAAATGATGAGTCATTTTGGTACAAGTTGCTATATCAATTGCAAATTGAT